AAAAGCAGCTACCTGTCTGGCAGGGTTATATTGACCTTCTGCCTTTCTGGGCTGTTCTGGGAGTAGAAAAGTCTTCTCGCTTTATTTGCACCCATGCCAAGTTTGGGAGGGTTGTTTGTAAGCAAAGACCAGTGTCACAGTGTAACTGAAATAAATTGTTCTCTCTAAATACATATCCTGAAAGGATGGGAGAGTTTGGGGGGTTCAGCTGGAGAAGAGAAGGCTCCAGGGAGAGCTGAGAGCCCCTTGCAGGGCCTAAAGGGGCTCCAGGAGAGCTGGAGAGGGACTGGGGACAAGGGATGGAGGGACAGGACACAGGGAATGGCTTCCCACTGCCAGAGGGCAGGGAGAGATGGGATATTGGGAAGGAATTGCTGGCTGGGAGGGTGGGGAGGCCCTGGCACAGGTTGGGCAGAGAAGCTGTGGCTGCCCCTGGATCCCTGGAAGTGTCCAAGGCCAGGTTGGACGGGGCTTGGAGCAACCTGATGGGCTTTAATGTCCCTTCCAACCCAAACCAGTCTGGGATTCAGTGATTCCATGATGTCTCCTAGAAAATGTTCAGTTGAGGTCCTGACCAGTTTAAAAGCTTTGGACCAACCTCTGGTTCAGCTCTTTGGTTTGCTGTGTAACCATGAGCTCAGCACCAGGACAAGACCTTTGGGATCTCTGGGAACTTGGCATCCTGTGTCTTCCAGGATGAGACTGCCTGGAGCATCCCAAAAGCTGCAGGGAAGCTTGGAGGTGGCAGGTGGGATTGCTGTGGGGGGAGGGACTGAGAGGAGGCACAAGAGGAGGGACAGGCCGGGGTGAGGTTGGGATGGGACAGGAGGGATCTCCTTTCCCATGAGGTATTTCCTGCTGCCCCCAGCTCAGGTATTATCCCAACTCCAGCAAACCATTCCAGATAATTGGGTGCCTGGGGGAATGCTGCCAGTTCTCAGCAGTGGGTTTCAGAACAAGCTCTGGGATTGCAAGGACACTTCCATGTGCTCAGCTGAACACACCCTGTGTGCCTGAGCACACATCCAGGGCTTTTCCTCTCCAGTGCTTCATCAGGCACAGGCATTGCCATGTGTGCACATTCCTGGACGCAGGGATGTGCTCCAAACCCCCCTGGGTTTGGCTGGGAGAGAAGGATGCTCCAGTTAGGAGCATCACAACCCTGCTGCCCTGTTGTGTTTAATGGATAAGGCAGGAGCTCTGTGTGACATGGGATGTTTTCCCAAAAGAAAACACAGCCTCTGCACACCCTAAATCTTTCCCAAAGAGCCTGCATGTCCTCTGGCTGATGGGAGCTGCCGATGGATTGCTGCTGGAATTGCAGGAGCCACGTGACAGAGCATTCCAACTCATGGATGGGGACGGAGCAATCCAGAGCTGGGTGGTTATGGCACTTGGGGAAAAATTGTTTGCAGGCTCAGCAAGTCTTTATTTTTTAGCTCTAACAGCTGAAGGTTGATAATTCCTTCAGCAAGCAGGAAGGTTGGCTGTTGTCTGGAGTGTCCAGGGAGAGGATTCATGTCACCTTTCCCCCCCTGACATGTTGGGACATCCCTGTTCCCTTGGAATATTGTGTTCCCCTTCCCACCTTGCCACGTGTCTTCCAGCAGGCTCATGTAAGGCCGGGCAGTGAGCAGGAGAATGAGAGTAAGACCCTCTGTTCTCTCTGCTTTACCCTTTTCCCTGGTGTCTTTGGGATTGCTTCAAACCTCCCTGTTTTTATCAGAGCTGAGTTACACTAATTAATGAGAGAGGAAAATGAGCAGGGGAGAAAATAAATAATGAATTGCGTGAAAAATGAATTCACAGAAGCCCAGAGTATGAAGGCTGCAAAGTAAGAAAGGAGGCTTTTATTGCCTTGGATAATATAATTATCCAGCAAAGCCTGTTTCCTTCAAATTGTCAGATCTGGTGTCACTTGAACTCACCAATCCCCCACTTGACAAAGTTCCTCTGACTCCCAGGGGGTCGTGATGGAGGGTGGGTAACAGAGTGATAATGAGTCCTTGAATGTTATGTGCCAGTGTGAAAATGGAAATAAATCAGTTAAAGGGTCTTTTTACAGAATCCCAGGATAACTGAGATTGGAAAAGCCCTCCAAGATCACAGAGTCCCCCCTGTGCCCGATGCCCACCTTGTCCCCCAGCCCAGAGCACTGAGTGCCACGGACACCTCCAGGGCTGGGGACTCCAAACCTCCCTGGGCAGTCCCTTCCAATGCCTGACCACCCTTCCCATGGAGAAATCCTTCCTTTAGTAACATTTTGGTGTCCAGGAAAAAGATGGGAAATGGCTTCTTGGCTCTTTCTTCTCCTCTCGCTTCCCTGTTGCAGTTTCAGCAAGTGGGAGCTGTCAGAGCAGAGCTCACTGCTCTCGGTGCTGAGCAGACAGCAGTGTTTGTGTTGGCTTGTTGCACAATATTCTGTCAGTATTGCACAATACTTCTGGCAATATCCCGATCTTCCATCAAATACCGCAAACAGACCCAAAAATCCAACAGGAGCCAGGCTGCTCTCCTGCCCCTCTGCTGCTATTTGCAGAGCAGTGCCTTATTTCCAGTGTGATGCTGCAGTTCAGCATCATGTGAGTCACAGTCCTGGGGCCGCATCTTCCAGATAAGCCACTCGCTGTTTGGCAGAAGTTGGGAGAGCGGGATCATGTGGCTGTGACTGTACCAGTGGGGATCTCCTGGCACAGGGGCAGGGCTGAGCCTGGCACAGCAGCCGGGGGTGGCCCTGCAGGATCAGCTGCTCTGGTTACACGGGTTTGTTCTGACAGTGCTCACACTGCACCAGCAACAGCCAGTGTGTGGGGACTGTGTGTCCAGCACAGGAACGGGCTCCTGGTGAATTCCCTTATGGAGCTGCACTGATTCACATCGGGAGACTTGAGTGGATATATAGGTCAGGTGTGCCCAGGTGGGCAAGAGGCCAATGTCACCTGGGCTGTGCCAGCCCTGGTGTGTCCCAGCCCCAGAGCAGTGCCCGTCCCACCTCCAGGGCTGGGGCAGTTCTGGGACCTCAGACAAGACCCGGAGGGGCTGGAGCGTGTGCAGGGAAGGGAACGGAGCTGGGAAGGGGCTGGAGCAGCAGGAGGGGCTGAGGGAGCTGGGGGGGCTCAGCCTGGAGAAAAGGAGGCTCAGGGGGGACCTTCTGGCTCTGCAACCCCCTGACAGGAGGGGGGAGCCGGGGGGGGTCGGGCTCTGCTCCCAGGGAACAAGGGACAGGAGGAGAGGGAACGGCCTCAGGCTGTGCCAGGGGAGGGTCAGGTTGGACATCAGGAGGAATTTCTCCCTGGAAAGGGTGGTCAGGCACTGGCAGGGGCTGCCCAGGGAGGTTTGGAGTGCCCAGCCTGGAGGTGTCCCAGGAAGGCCTGGCCGTGGCACTCAGTGCTCTGGGCTGGGGGACAAGGGGGGCATCGGGCACAGGGGGGGCTGGATTGATGATCCTGGAGGGCTTTTCCAGCCTCAGTGATCCCGTGATTCTGTGATACAGGGCTGTGCAGATTCTGTTCCCCGTTCCCCCACGTGGATCATCCCTGCCATCCACCCCCATGGGTGATGCTGTCCCTGTCCTGCCAGGGGGCTCTGGACCCTGTTCTCTGGCACTTTGCAGCACCCAGAAAATTCGGGGGGAAATGAGGTGGTCAGAGAGTCTGGGGTGAGGAGCAGTGCCTGCTGCCCTCAGGGACAGCAGGAGTGGCCTTGTCCAGGCTCAGCCATCCCAGGGTGTGGTGCCTTCCTGTTGCAGTGTATTATTCCAGGTAGGATTAAAACTTGGAAAGAAGCCCATTCCTACTGCAGTATTTGACTTGTGTTTCTCATGATGCCTTTTGATTTATTGTTCAGAGCATGTGGTCACTCTCCCTTCTTCCTTTCTGCTGCTCTTGAAGCTTTGATGGCTTTAAATAAAAACTGTGATGATCAGTGGGTACAGAAGTGCCTTCAGAGTGTTTGATGGACAGAGAAATTTGTTCTTCACCACAGAGCTGGTCTGGGTTTGCAGCTCCTGGTCCTCTGTGGCTGGGGAGTTCCCTGGTCTCTGCTACATCCCAAAGGAAGCAGAGGGAAAAGCAGGATCAAACTCACAGCTGTGGCTTAGCTCCTGTCAGGCAAATCCTGTTCTTGGCATGAGGAAATCTGCCCTTCCCAGTGACAGGCCGGGTTAGGAGTGTGGAATGAGGAGAACTCACCAGTGGTTCATTGCCAGGGATCTTCTGATGGATATGGATTCACATCAGTGCATATGGATTCACAGCAATGGACATGGATCCACAGCAATGGCTTTGGATTCACAGCAGTATTTAAGAATATTTTACTTTACATTATTGACTCACACTGTACAAACACATGTCCCTGTGCTGCAGGATATAAATCAATCCGAGGGGGGGAAAAAATCAAGGACATAATGGTGCAGAATGGCTCTTATGGAGCTACAGATTTTGCAGCTCTGCTGTGGATTCACCAGGATTAAACATGCCCTGTTTTACAAGGCTAAAGCCCTTCCCCTGTTGAGTAGCCTGTAATAATGTCATTTTTGCCTCTTTTTCCCTCTGGAAGGCCAGGACAAAGCTCAGTGTGAGTGGGAGCAGAGCACTTCCACAGTGGAGTGTATTCCTGGGGAGGGATGACTCAAACCAAGCTTTGTGATGCCTTCATTACATCCGAGGTGACCTAACCCTGGACTTTCCCAAGGCTGAGGTTGTCAAACAGGATTTAAATGTTGTAAAGACTCGTGGGCAGTGCCCACAACTGAGCTGGATTTCACTGTGTCAGTAAGGAAGTGAAGGGACAGGTTTTTCTTGGGATTTTTCCCTTTGCCTTGGTGCACCTGATGGGCAAAGCCAGGTTATTTCCCTGCTGAATTCTGCAGGTGTTGTAGGTGTAAATCCCCTCAAAGAAATGAATAAACAGGTATTTTAAAGGGATTTTTTGGAATGTGACTGGGGAAGGGGTTTCTCTTCGTTCCCTGTGCTTTCTTAGTGACCTGGATTTCCTTTCAGGGCTCAGCAGATTCGTACACGAGCAGACCCTCGGACTCTGATGTCTCTCTGGAAGAGGACAGGGAAGCAATCCGCCAGGAAAGGGAGCAGCAGGCAGCCATCCAGCTTGAGAGGGCCAAGGTGTGTCCTGTTCAGCTTCAACAGCTGAGTTCTGTGCCACTGATCCTTTCCCTGCTGCTGAAATTTGTAACAGTGATGCTCTTTGGAAATAGTTGGGCAGTCGAGTCAAATGGGGAATATATGAAAATATTCCCTATAAATGGGGGTGTTCTCCAGTGAGCTTGTGTGGAATCACTAGGGCTGAATTTCTCTGGCTTTAACAACGTGCTCTGCTGCATTTTTTGCAGTTGGGTACAGCTCTTGACTGAGGGGAGTTTGCAGTGCTTGTGTTGTGTTTCTCCCTGCAGTCCAAACCAGTAGCATTCGCTGTGAAGACCAACGTGAGTTACTGTGGAGCTCTGGATGAAGATGTCCCTGTGCCAAGCACTGCCATCTCCTTTGATGCCAAGGACTTCCTGCACATCAAAGAGGTAAAACCAGGAGCTAGGAAAAGGGAATCCTTGTCTGACTGAACAGTCAGGCTGAGCCAGGGTGGATTAACACCCGCTCCAAGAGGTGAGAGGTCAGTGGACGTCCAGCTCCCTGGGGTGGTTATCCTGCACTTTTGTAGCACTTGGTGTTACCAAATGGTTGGATTTTCATGGTGCAGGAAGGAAATAATTCCCTTCAGCGTGGTGGGTTCAGAGTCTTCCCATCAGAGGAAGTTTGTGGTGGATCAGAGATCGTGGAGCAGAGAAAGGGATCCCAGTGATCCCAGAGTGGAGCAGCAGCAGGTCACACCAGGTCTTCATAAAGCACCAGATGGGCTTGTGAGGGAGAAAAGAAGACTTAGAATAACACATTAAGAAAACACTGAAGAGGACAGATACAAAAATAAGGGAAAAAAATGGGAATAAATGGGCCCTAAGTATGGCTTTGGTAGAGAAAATTGCATTTTATTGCATGCTGAGCATATTTTCTGCAATTTTTCATCTGAATTGAGCCCTCCAAATTTGCATAACCCCCTGTTGTGCTGTAGATTGGTACCCAGGCTTGCAGAAGCACTTCTTCATCTCTGCATTCTGGGGTTATTTTCGGGTGTTCAGTGCTCAGCTGCCTCTTTCTTTGAGCGTGTGCTCGTCATCACTTCAGAGCACTGAGCTCCCTCAGCCTGAGCCCACCTGCTCCTGCCCTTCCAGAGGCACACAGCGGGGCTGGAGCAGGGAATTGCTGTACAGAAGGACACAGGAGAGGCACTGGAATGCCCTGAGCTGGTTTTTGATCCTGGCTTTCCTTGGCTGGGGCCACGTTGGGTGTCAGGGCGCTGATTGAGTCGAATGTGCTAAGCCCTTGTTGCTCTGCCCTGTACATTCTCCCAGACAAGAGTCCCAAATCCATGTCTTGGCATTCCCTGAGTTGTCCTCCGAGGTCTAAATACCCGGGATCACATTGTCACTAAGCTGTAAACCATCTGGCTTACTGGTGTTTGTCAGCTCTGCTGAGGGTTTAGCAGATTCTCTTTGTTAACACTCAAACCCTCAGCTCGCCCCGAGCCGTGGCTGCAGCTCAGCAGGATTTTGGGAATGGTGGAAAAAGGCTTTGCAGAATTTGTTTTTCGGTGATCTGGCAGGGCCTGATTGGATTAGAACAATGGTTCCAGATTTTGGAATGGTGCTGAACTGGTTACACAGTCAGGTCACCCTGTGCCAGGGTGGAAGAGCAGCAGTGACTGAGGAGTTGCTATTTTGGGGATGTGTCCTGTATGTCTCATCTGCCTCCAAGACTATACATTATGTGCTTACTTAAAAGATGAAGTGGCAACAATTCCTGACAAAGCAGGAGGAATCATGGGCCTGGCAACCAATGGGAGGGAGTGTGGGCCTCCCACACGCTGAGTAACATATGGGAGGGAATGACCTAATGCAGATCCCATGTTCCTCACTGCATCCTTAGCTTCTGTGTGCTTCAGGCACTCTCAGCATAACCATGTAATCCCAGACTTGTTTGGGTTGGAAGAGACCTTAAAACCATCCAGATCCAACCCCGACGCCTTCCACTATCCCAGTGGCTCCAGCCTGGCCTTGGACACTTCCAGGGATCCAGGGGCAGCCACAGCTTCTCTGGGCAACCTGGGCCAGGGCCTCCCCACCCTCCCAGCCAGAAATTCCTTCCCAATATCCCACCTATCCCTGCCCTCTGGCAGTGGGAAGCCATTCCCTGTGTCCTGTCCCTCCATCCCTTGTCCAAAGTGCCTCTTGAGAGGGACTGATTCTGATCCCATGGTTAGGGCCATCACTCAGAGCTCCATGACCTGCTCATGGAAGAAGGATTCCCATGTTCCAGCTGTACATTTAGAGCCAGAACAGAGCAGGGAATGCCCTTGGGACTCAGGTGTTACAGTGGTACAAGCCATGGATTGATTTCCTAGAATCCCAGATTGGTGTAGGTGAGAAAGACCTTAAAGCCCATCCAATCCCACCCCCTGCCATGGGCAGGGACACCTTCCACTATCCAGGTTGCTCCAATCTGGCCTTGGACACTTCAGGGGTGGAGAGTCCACAACCTCTCCGTGATTTCCAGAACGTTGGATCCCAAAGGATTTATCTGCTTTACAGGCTGTAAATAGTTCCATTGCCTTAACACGCTTAAAACTGAGCTTTGCTTCCTGACACTGTTCTTCAGCATGAACAACAGCTGGTTTAAGAGTTGGGATGGTAAAATAATGGAACCTCTTGCACAGATAACACCTGCAGCAGGAGGGCAGGTTTCCAAGGTGAGGGGGTGAGGACTGCACTTCCCTGGGCTCTGTGTGTGGTAATAGGTGTGTGTGTATGGGTTCATGTTAACACCTGTGCATGGATGGGTTAATAAAAAGCAAATAAATAATGAAAAGCTGAGGCTCCGTGTTTCAGAGTCACCATCGGGCACTGCTGCACCTTGACAACGGGGACACGGGATTTCTGTGTCTCTGCAAGAGCTTAAGTGCTCGAAAACGAGAGCCAGGGGCCGTGAGCATTGTTAAGAGAGATGGCTGTGATAGCTCTTGGCTCCGGGCTTGCAAACAAAACCCCCTCACTCGAGCTGCTCTTAATGACTCCGGAGTCAGCCGAGAGAAGCACTGAGGGGCCTAATGAAGCAGAACAGACCCGAAGGTTTTCAGATATTTTTCTTCAAAAGCTCTGCTGGCAGCAGCTACAACAAATCCTTTGCCACACGAGATCCGTCAGGATCCTGCTTTTCATCTTCCCGTCGTTAGGGTCGGGTCAGACTTTCAACACTGCAGGAAAACTCGAGTTACCAAAGGTTAACGACAACATTAAATGTTACACTTCCGAGCTGAGGCCGTGACCTTTCTGTGCTGCAGAAATACAACAACGACTGGTGGATAGGGCGGCTGGTGAAGGAGGGCTGCGAGATCGGCTTCATCCCCAGCCCGCTGCGCCTGGAGAACATCCGCATCCAGCAGGAGCAGAAGAGGGGCCGTTTCCATGGAGGGTGAGGGCGCTGCAGCCTCGGAAAGCAGTTAAAGCGTTTCTGACGCCGGGCAGCCTTTCCAAAGGTCACTCGGCGCCGCTTTATTGCGGTGCCTCGGCACGCCTGGGTTTGGGATCCCCACTGGAAATAGGTATTTGCAGAGAACAGGCGGGGGAGACGCTGATGGGGAGAAACAGGAAAAACTGTTTGACTTCAGGGAAGAGCAGTAATTCAGTGTGAGGGGTAATGACAGCAATTTCTCGCAGTTTTGTGTCCCCGTGGTCAGCTCAGTGCTCAGAGATTCCCTGATTTTTTCCCCCAGCTTTTCTCAAGGTTGTGGCCTTTTTCTTCCTTTTTTTTTTTTTTTCATTCTCTCCATTCAGCCCAAACCAGACTTTTCAAAGTTTCTGACTTTTTTCATTCAACTTCCTTTTATCCTTCACGTCCCAGCCTGGGCTTTCTGGGGCTCCACCCTGCCAGAGCTGGAGATTGCAAATCCCTGGGAAAATACAAACTTGGTCGGGGAGGTAAAGCTGAGGAAGGAAGTGTTTCCAGAACGACTGAGCAGCATCAGCTGTGCTCCTTCCAAATTGCTTTTATGATTTTTGAAATAACTTCAGAGGGTCTCTGTGGACAGGGAGAGGATTACCTGGTTCAGTGAGGCACTCCTGGATTTGCATGATAAAATTCAAAGTCACATTTAAAATAAACAGTTGATTTTTGAGCACCTTTGTTAGGCAGAGTCACAGAGATCTCTGTTACCTTGGGATTCCTCATGGGGCAGATTCTCCCCAAAACCTCCCACATTTTCATCTCTGGGTGCCTTAACGGGGCTCTTTCTGCTCCCACAGGAAATCCAGTGGGAATTCTTCTTCAAGCCTTGGAGAAATGGTTTCTGGCACATTTCGGGCCACACCTACTGCCACAGGTAAGACAAGATGTTATTTAGGGGAGCTCTTGTTGTTCTGTTTTCAAAACCACCCAGGAAAAATGCAGGTTTTCCCCTTAGCCGAGTGATTCAGATGTTTTCCAGCAAAGTGCTTGTGTGTGTGTGTGGAAGGGGAGGAAGGAAAACAGCTGTTTCTGGCCATGCAGGAGTTGTTGAGGGGCTGGGATAAACCTTGGGAAGAGTGGCAGCTGCTCCAGAATGGACAGAAGGCCCAGTTTAAACAGGGGGACCAAAGGGAGAGAATTCCCGGTGCATGGACAGAGGGGTTTCTGTTTGCACTGGGGTGTTTTAACCGTGTTCTCCTTTGGTCTTCCAGCAAAACAGAAACAAAAAGTGGTAAGTAGTGCTTTTGCTTTCATTTTATTTCATTCTAATCCACAATTCCCAGGATTTTCTTACGGATCTTGTTGGATAAATGATCTGAAGGGTTGTTTTCTTCTTCTAGACAGAGCATATTCCCCCCTACGATGTAGTGCCATCGATGAGACCTGTTGTCTTGGTGGGTCCATCACTCAAAGGCTATGAGGTACTTGCCATTAATTACTGTTTAATTACCTGTAATCTCCCTTAGTAATGCAGGGCGTGGGCCAGTGCAGCTGTTTGGTGATAACTTAAAGTGATCTTTGCTTAAATAATTACCCAAAATGTTCTGTAAGCACCAAGAGCTTTACTTGGAGCCTGCACTGCACATCCACTCTTTCCAGTGCACTTATTCCTGATTAAACCAAGTCAGAAAAAGAGAATTTGTGTTCTCTACAAGGCAGAGTTGGAGCAGTCAAATTAAAGAGCTGGACTCCTCCCCACGTGTAACATTTTAGTCAAACCAGCACATGCTTTGAACTTAATTAGCAAAAAAATTTTCAGGGAGCCTCCTTGCTGTTCTCTTTTCACTTTGCCAGTATTTCAGATGTATTTGCAAAGAAACTTTAACCCTCCTAAAGGGTTTGCCACCGTTCCACGTGGGAGTGGGCAGGATAACGTGCCCAGAAAACCAGGACACCCCTTTTTTGGGCTGCTGCAGATTGAAGTGAGCATTTCCCACGTGCCAAGTGAGCAGTTGGGTGAACTTCCCCATCTGTGAGTGTTGTGCTGAACCAGGAGCTAAATGAACATCAAATCAAAGCTACACTTCATTAAGCTTAATTAATGTTGGTGGTGCTTTACAGGATATTGTTAAACACACTGGAATGGCTCTTTTTGGAAGATTGCAACGTGGTGCCATTACTGGAGTAATAATGTTGTTATACTGAGGGGTTTTTATAAGAATCTTTGAAGGTGCAGTTCATCAAAGCAGGAACTTCATGTTCTTTGCTGCCTTTGAATTTTGTGGTGAAGTTTTTTTGACAGGAGTAAATCCCATCTGTGCTGCACCACAGATCAATTTGCCTCTCAAGTCTGAGGCTGTTTGTTAATCAAAACCTCCTCAAAAATTTGAAATATTCAATATTCAAATAATTTGAAATACTCAATATTCAAATATTTGAAATACTCAATATTCAAATATTTGAAGTACTCAATATTCAAATATTTCCATTCTGCCTTTTTTTTTTTCCTGAAAGAAAACAATACTAAACACGACATCTTATAAATGTGTCTAAATGTTAACACAGGATATTAATTTAAATTACAAACAGTGGTCTGCATAAGAGAAATGCTTGATCTTACTTTGCAACCTTCATGGGGAAGCTGTTTGGAGTAATTTTTTTTCCTGGCTAAATTCTGAAGGAACCAGTTAAAGTGGCAGAGGCCTGAGGGGGCTTTGATGGAGCTCCTGGCAGGTAACAGTTGTCAGCCCTGGGAAGGACAAGGAGCCTGATCAATAATGGGGATTGCAGAGGTGCCAGTTCATGGCCAGCAGGAACATCCCATTTCTGTCTCTCTGAGAGGAGTGTTCTCTGGGAGAACAGTCACCCACCACCATAAATCTTGCACCTGCCATTTGAAGGCAACCCTGAGAACGTCACTGCAGGTTAAAAACCCAAATAATCTGTTCAACCCGAGTGTTTGGTTGGGCCACGTTTGGGAATGAGACTCTGGGAATGGGCTGCTGTGGGAGGGGGTGAGGAGTGGGCAGGGCAGGGCAGGAGCAGCCAGGAATGATTGCTGCCCATCAGAGGGATTGATTGTTGGCCATATCCTTACCTTCTACTCACCTCTTTCCTTCCTTTTCCTTCCTTTTCCCTGCTTTTCCTCGCTGTCCTCCCTCCCTGTCCCCCCTTCCTGCCCTCTGCCAAGGTGACAGACATGATGCAGAAAGCTCTCTTTGACTTCCTGAAGCACAGGTTTGATGGCAGGTGAGAAACACTGCCCTGCTCGTGCTGCTTTGCCCACGTGTTACTAACATTCCAGTGGGGTGTTTTCCATTTTGGATGCATGTTCCAGTCTTATTCACTGCCCTTTCTTCACCACTGAGGAGTGGAACACAACTAACATCTTACTGTCTCCACTTCTGCTGGGTCTGGGGCAGGATTTCTCAGTTTAACACAATAATTCCTTTGCAGTAGTTTCCCAACACCTGAGAAGAATCAGCTCTTAGATATTCCTTATTTAAGCCTTTATTTTGGCTGCTCTGAGCAGTCAAAAATAACCAGAAAAGGCAGTTTGAAGAAGGAAATGCTGAGAAATAAAATATAGAAAAATAAGTTTGTCAGGGCTTAAAAAAAAAAATATAAGGAGGGTTCACTCTCAGCTGGAGCACAGGGAATATTTCCTGGGGAGCTGTGAGGAGGATAATTTGGATTTCTTTGCTAGGAGCACAGGCTTGTCCATGGCATCTCTGCCTCCTCCCTGGGTAAGTGACTGCTGCATCTTTGGGATGTTCTGCCCTTCCTTCTTCCCAGTTTGTTCAGAATATTCTAACTGGGAAAAGGAGCTTACACTGTTCTAGCCAGTATATAACACTAGGTCAGGTTAGAAATACCTAAACCATGGGCACTGGGACGGGGAAAATCATGTGGAGAAGAGCTGGAGCGGGATTTGTGGAGTTTTGGGAGCTGAACTGACACATAAACAGCTCAGACAAAACGTTTAATGATCAACTTCTGTGCAAAATAATCTCCTCTCCTGCCCTGTTTGGAGCTGCCCAGTTCAAGTGATTTTCTGGGAATCCTAATTCCATTAGCAGTATTGGCAGCTGGATCAGGTGGAGTGTGGCATTTCAGCATTGGAAGGTTAAGTGGCACCAGCAAACTGATACCATTGATTTTTGCTCTGAGTAACTTCAGAAAAGCTGCTGCTTGGTCCTCCTGCCAACTTTTATGGCTTTGTGGTCTTTCTCCTCCCCCCTCCCTTTTCTGTTTCTTTCTTTCCATCTCTTCTGCAGTTTTGTGACAGGTCCATGTTCCCAAGAAAAGAACTGACTGTCCAAGGAAAAGCCTTTCAAAAGGCTGCAGTGGGACTTGGCTCCTTCCCCACCTCTGAATTCCCTGTGCTTTGCCAGCTCCTTCCTTTGTAACTGCAGCCTCCTCTTCTGCCCAGGGAACCAAAGACCCACAATCCATTAATTTCTATTTTAAGTTAATTTATACTTTTGGTCTCTGCTGTATTTTCTGGTAATACATTTATTTGTGAATTATTTAGAAAAATACCTGTGCTTCTTTTGAACCCTCCATCTGATGATTTCACTGGGAGCTGCATAAACCTCAGGTTTTGTGGGAAAGCTGCTGGTCATTCCCAGCTTGCTTCCTTTTCATTATTCATGGCTCTTTGGCTCATCCCAGGCCTCCTAAATGGATTTTACGTGAAGGGATCGTGTGGTTTTTGTTTGACAACATTTTGTCTTGTCAGTTCAAGTAAATCTGAATCAGTTCAGGTAAATCAAGTAGATCAAGTGAAAAATCACCTCCCTTCAGTGAAAGAGGTGCAGTGAAGTTAAACTTAAGTTTAAGCAATGCAAGGAGCTGTGGTTTAACTTCTTTTTCTCTTGTTCATCCAAGTCAGACCCGTGTAACTTGTGATATTCGTGGGACTGTGTAAGTTCATGTAGGAGAGGAGTGAGTTGGGAGGAGGGAAGTTAATTAATGCACTAAGAATGGCAGAAACTACATCCCAGAGTCTCCAATAGCTCAGGGAAGGGAAAATCCCTCACAGTTACCCAGCACTTCCCTTCAGTTGTTCTGGAGTGATGACAGAACTCAGCTGGAAGACGTGTCTGAGGGGTGTTTGGGTGGGTTTGCCCTTTGGAATGGGATGTGCCTGCAAATCCTGCAAATCTGAGCCCTGTGCTTGTGCTGTGTCCGTGTTCCCTGTGCCAGGATATCCATAACCAGGGTGACAGCCGACATCTCCCTGGCCAAGAGGTCTGTGCTCAACAACCCCAGCAAGAGGGCCATCATCGAGCGCTCCAACACCAGGTCCAGCCTGGGTAAGGCACCGGCACACAGGGAATCCTGGCCCTGGATTTCAGCCTTCGAGGTCATAGAAGGGTGGGAGGGACCCCCAGGGACCATCCAGTCCAACCCCTGGCCCTGCACAGACACCCCAACAATCCCACCCTGTCCCTCAGAGCGTTGTCCAAACCCTCCTGGAGCTCTGGCAGCCTTGGTGCTGTGCCCACTGCCCTGGGGAGCCTGGTCAGTGCCAACCACCCTCTGGGGGAAGAACCTTTGGCTGAGATCCAACCTGAGCCTGCCCTGGCACAGCTCCAGCCCTTCCCAAGATGCCATCAGTGTGTCCACAGCATTTTACTGGATAACCCCGAGTTGGCCTCCCAGCACCTTCTCCCTGTGCTTTTAATCCCACATCACAGGGGGCCAAAGAGCTTGCACTTGTTCAGCCAAAGAAAACATGTCATTCCTGACCCTGGGACCAGTTTTGGGGTTTATGGTGAACATCTACAGCTTAATTTTGCTGTTTAGCCATGAGATTCTGGCTCTTCCCCCTCTCCCTGTTGTCATGACTCCTGGATGAATTTTGATTTGGACTCGATGGTCTTGGAGGTCTTTTCCAACCTCAGTGATTCTGTGATGGGATGATTCCATGATTATTTCCTGCACAGAGGTGGAAATTTGTGTGTAGCATGTGCATAGTGTGTTTTTAAATAACACCCTGCCAGTTATTTGACAGAAGTGGGTTTTTGTGCTTATAGAACTAGGAGGTTCTGCTTTTCACAGAGACCCTTCTTTAAGTTAAGTCAGAGTTATAATATCAGAACAAAAAAGAGTTTTAAGGAATATCCAAACACTTGCTGATTAAAACAAAAAATCTTGTGACTCCCAAGCTGTTTAGCAGATTAGGAAAACGCACTATTTTATGTTACTAGATATTTAATTGTGCCCAACATTTAAGACGCTGATATTATAAAGGAACATGGCACATCTGTGCTTTCAGGCAGCAGAATTGTCTCAGAGGTAATATTTATTTTTAAAATGCCTTGAGTAACAGGTTATTTTATGGAAATGACATAAATTCCTCTACAGACTCTATGCAGGCAGGTGGGTGATGGTATTTTTGTCTCAGTGCTGTGGGGTTGGATGGTTTCACCTGCTCTGTTTTCCTTCCCCAGCTGAAGTGCAGAGTGAGATTGAAAGGATCTTTGAGCTGGCAAGGTCCTTACAGCTGGTTGTCCTGGATGCAGACACTATAAATCACCCTGCCCAGCTTATCAAGACATCTTTAGCCCCAATTATTGTCCATGTGAAAGTGTCCTCTCCAAAGGTAAAGCCTCTCACCTTCAAATCCACCTGCAGGGCAGGGTGGGAGGGGGTGGAATCTGCACCTGAAGGGGGAAAAAAAGTGACACAGCATCTGCAGCTGTGGTGCCACAGTCCATCCAGCAGTCCAGGAATTCTGTACGTGCATACCATTTTCGTGGTGTTCTCTTGTCAAAAATAAATTGTTATTTCAAGTAGAATCAAGCAAAATCGCTGCATTTTAAACTTTTCCAAGGGATCAGACGTGGTGCGGAGGGAAACGTGCCCAGCTCTCGGGGGGGTTATCAGAAAGGTTTGGGCTGGTACTCAAGGGCAGTATTTTGTGGAGAGCTTGGAAGTCCTCCAGTGGGATGTCAGGCTGAGCTCTGGGGAGATAAAAGACCCTTGAACTCACCTTTTCCCCTTTCCTCCCGTCAGGTTTTGCAGCGGCTGATCAAGTCCCGGGGGAAGTCACAAAGCAAACACTTGAATGTGCAGTTGGTGGCAGCTGATAAACTGGCACAGTGCCCCCCAGTAAGTACAGCAGAAAGGCTGAGGAGCCTGTGACACATGGGGTTGTGCTGATCCCTGCTGCGTTGGCCCCTCTGCAGAGCCCAGTCCATCCCTTATCACTCCCTGTGTGGTGGCTCAGGCAGCCCTGCTCCTGCCCCCTGATCCGCTCTGACTGCCAGACACAAAGTGCCTGCTGGGACTTTCATCCTGGTTATCTCCTGAGCTGGCTTTGCTTTGGGCTCTGGCAGGGTGACAGGGCAGGAATGACGTGTAGGGGACACCAGCTCTGTCACTCCATTAGCAAATTACCATTGGTGGAGCTTAAGGTCCCAAGGGACAAAGTCTGAGCCTCCTGGTTTGGAGCCTCCTTTCACTGCACAGAGGGGTGTGTGCAGGGCTGTGATCCCTGATCCCCATCCTGCCAGCCAAGCCATTGCCTCATGGGAGCACAGTCACTGCCCTCCCACCTTGGGATCCAAGGCCCTGCCTCCTCACCTGGAATCACCTGCCTGCTCCAGGAGCAGAGGGCCTGGAACGCCCACCAGGGAGGTGTGTGGGGACAGGCTGGGCAGGGGTTTGGGCAGGGCAGCTCAGACTTGCTTTTGTTTTTGGAAACCACCCCTGGTTTCTGTGACACAGACAGTGGGAACAGCCTTGGAGGTGGCTCTGTGTGGGATCTGTGTGGGACATTGGGGTGGGAATGAAGAGACCAGTCTTGGTACCAGGGCAGGGGTCAGACAGCCCAGCCTGGGGCTGGTGATTTCCCACCTCTCCTGTGCCAAAGAACTGCACTTGGAAATCAGCTTAATTCCCAGAAATTTCAATAGGCACTGGCAAGGTTTCCATGTCACTTAAAACTGCAAAGTGCTGACAGAAGAAATCTTGGAATGATCTAGGAACAAATCTGGGAGCTCAGCAGAGGGAACGCCCGGCCCTATTGGTCAGGTAATGCCTCTGGAACACTTTGCCTTGTGTTCTGCAGACCCTGAAGAGGTTCCCTCCATTTCAGATGGTTTTTATTCTCAATTCAGATTTAAGCAACAAAGTTCAAGCAGCCTTTGTCCTGGAGTAATGATCCTCAAGGATTGATTTCCATGGAACTTAACTTGGCTTTGAATGCCTCTTCAGACCCCAAACTTCACAGCCACCTCCCCTCTGGTCCCCACCGGCCATAAAAAGAGAGTTCAGGTATTTCTGGGCACTCCCCCTAAATTACAGGGATAGATGTTGCTTTCTAACTGTTCCAGGTGCTGGGAATTGAGGCTGAGCCACATCTCCTGGAGGCCTCGTGCCCCTCCAGTGTCCCAGAGCCACTGCTGGGGCTGTTTGTCTGAAAACACCCTTTTCAGGCTGACACTGAGTGAGTGAGTGAGTGCAGAGTGTGTTTGCTCAGCAGTTTCAGACACAAAATGAATAATAACTAAGGAGGACCTGTGGAAACTCTGAATTTTGGCAGGTTTTGGTAGTGTTTTGGTGCAGATTCACACTGAAGTGTTAAAAAGCAGAGGAGAAAGGTCACAGGCTTAACTGAGCTGTGATCTCTTAAAACGCTGACAAATTCCTGTGAGCCCTTCAGGCCCCACTGACTAAACCACATTTGTACCCTGTTGTGTAGAACAAAATAATTCTGTAAAACACATCCCTTCCTGCCCCCCCAGGGGTGTGAGGGAACTGGGGCTGCCCCTGTGTGAACAGGCTCCTGGTGTTTGCACTGAGCTCATACCCAGCACAGCCCACTGCCATTCTTCCCCTGGGAAAGGAGTTTCCTTTGCCACCTGCAAGACAACACTGGGCATGTTCCACAGCCTTTTTTTTTTTTTTTTTTACTCTTTAGACAGTGATTTCTTATTCAGCTTCATTTTGCTTACAGTTAAAATGAGGCAAAATGCCCAGAGAAGCTGTGGCTGCCCCTGGATCCCTGGAAGTGTCCAAGGCCAGGTTGGACAGGGCTTGGAGCAACCTGGGCTAGTGGAAGGTGTCCCTGCCCGTGGCAGGGGGTGGGATGAGATGGTTTTGAGGTCCCTTCCAACCCAAACCATTCTGTAATTCCACGATTCTGTGAAAATATCAATGTTGTAGCTTGTTGGTGCCTCGTGGCACTTGGATTGTCCATCCCAGGACCTGCTAAAGCTCTGCCTTAAACCCCAGTCCTGTAACTCTGTTCTGGTGCCTAAGGCAGCAAGGTGAGGCCCCACCTGGATAAGAAAACTCTTTCCAAATGTCACAGACATGCATGAAACCCTCCTTGCTCAGAGGCTCTTCTGCCCTGCCGTGCCCAGGAGCCTTCTCAGAAGCCAGCTCAGCACTTTGCTCTGGGTGATGGGAAGGAAGTGATTGCTGACTTAGAGCTCTCCAAGGGACATGACAGCCCTGGTTAGGTTTAAATTCAAGTTGATCCATGATTTAATTAAGTAAAAGTATCCTGCTAAGAGCAAAGGCACTGCTGTCTCTCCCCTGCTTCATGGATCTCTCAGCTCCAGTTCCTGCAAGAGGAGAATTTGGAGTGTTTGTTCGAAGTGAACCACCCAATCCTCACTTTTCTCCTGTGCTGAGAGCAGCCTCAAGGAATCAGCCGGTGCTGCATGTCTAGACATTTTAAAAATAGCTGTCTCTTTGGGCATATTTGAGTTCAGGAACTGCTTTCATTATTAATTCCTTGCTAATCTCTCCCTGATGCTGCTCGAGCCCGTGTTAAGCACTGCAGGACTCCAGGAATATTACAGGACTCCAGGAACTCCACTGCAGGAACATTGTGTGGCTCAGAGGAACATGAACTGCACTAACTGTGCATCTTCAAATACAATGGTCATAAACAGTTCCTTGGGGTTGTTTTTTAAACTTTTGGCCATGCTCAGAGAGGGTACAAACCCCTCTGGGCTATTGGACACAACCTAAAAAATAACTGCAGTTATACTCCAGCAGAACTGAAAGGCATTAGTATCATTAAAATGTAATTAAGATATATCTACAAGTTAAAATTCTTCCCCCTCTCAGGTACACAGTGGTCCTGCAGCAAACCAAAAGAAAGAGCAGAGGGCAGTGGCCACTAATTTTCTTTCCTGTGTATCACTTGAGAATCCCAGGATCTGGGAATGCTCCTGTCATCACTGTTTCGTGCATATTGTAAGAAAATACTGCAGAGAATGAAATGCACTGTAAGGAGAGCTGGGGAGGAATTGCTTTACTCCATGACCCTTACAAACAAGGATCTTCTTAAAAGATTCTTTCCTGCCAAATCCGTGGAAATAGAGAAACCCAGTGTGACAGAACTGTTAAATGCCAGAGAAGAGCTGAGTGTTTCCTCTGTCATTATTTTCCCTGTGCAGCCCTGGACTCGGGATCCTGCCAGGGGGACATCCAGTGACAGCCTGAGAGGCTCCCCAGTCCCAGGGTTACTTTACAGTGAAATATTAAAAAGGGTGACAGTTCTGCTGCAGCTGTTCAGGGTTCTTCTTGCCTAAATCCAACTCAATTCTTTATTTAGGAAAACACAATTATACTCCAAGTGTAATCGTTTACTTTCAATCTTTCCAAAGCAAAATACATGTGAGCAAGCCACATTCTTTTACTGCCTAATTTAACCATGTTTTAATTAATAACTCCTTCCACAAGTGATGATGTGAGTGGTAGACTGGAATGTGAGGTGTAGCAGCATGGAGGTGAATAGCAAAGAAGGTGAAAATGCTGTAGATAAGTAGAGGAGCAAACCAAACAGGAATAAACTCTGAACTGGACCAAGGGATGCAGTGTTAGGAATATTCTGATTCGAAGGAAACTCTTTGCTGGCAGAGGAGAAACATTTCTCTCCCATGCAGAGAAGGGAGAATAAATTAAAAGATAATTAAAATGGCTTTATTATTTTAAATCTTCTTCTGTGTGCGTGGGGAGCTCTGTACAAACACGTGGAGGAGCAGCAGCCTGTGGTTGGTATCAGTTGCCCTTCACACCCGCAGCACCTGCACTTGTTACTGCCATTTCCTGTGCTCTTTTCACAGCATTTTTCAAAGTTAAGATCAGAGATGAGATATGAAATTGAACTGCTGAAAATGTGGTTGTGTTTCTCTCGAGGGGCTCAGCTGGTGATGGCTGTAGGTTGGAGAGCAGGCAGGAGTGTCCAGACAGGCAGGAACGAAGGGAGGTCAAGCCAGCCCATGGACATAGTGGCTGAAGAGTTCCCTGAAGCAGGAATGCTGCTGGTATCAGCACTGCCTGCTGTGGGAATGGTTTTTTAGGGGCATCATCACTGGAGATAAATAAATTCCTTAAGGAGTTTTGTGCCTTTGAGCTTGGAAGGGCTCACGTGATTTGTGGTGACCCTCAGGGATGGGTTTGGTGGCTCCCAAGAGCTTTGGTTCTTGGTCATCTTCTAAACCCACTTGTACCATTTTTTTTTGCACCCACAGAATCATGGAATGGTTTGGGTTGGGAGGGACCTTAAAGCTCATCCAGTTCCAGCCCCAACACCTCCCACTATCCCAGGTTGCTCCAAGCCCCGTCCAACCTGGCCTTGGACTCTCCCAGGGATCCAGGGGATCCAGGGCTTCTCTGAGCAACCTTGGCCAGGGCCTCCCCACCCTCCCAGCCAGGAATTCTTTCCCAGTCTCCCATCTAGCCCTACTTTGTTTCAGCGTGACTCCATTCCCCCTTGTCCTATCGCTCCACACTCCCATAAAAACCCCCTTTCCATCTTTCTTGTCGGCTCCTTCAGCGATCCCATGCCGTGATCCCTATTTGCTGACTCCTGAGGGTTCAGCCTGGCCAGAGGTGTCTGCCCTCTCCTCATTTCCCCGTGTGCCCCTGTGTCGTGCCCAGGACATGTTTGACGTGATCCTGGACGAGAACCAGCTGGAGGACGCCTGCGAGCACCTGGCCGAGTACCTGGAGGCGTATTGGCGAGCCACCCACACCACCAGTACCACCCCCCTGACCCCCCTGCTGGGCAGGAACCTGGGATCCACCGCCCTCTCCCCGTATCCCGCCGCCATCTCGGGACTGCAGGTAGGAGAGCCCGGCCTGGCCCACCCAGCCCTGTACTCCAGGTGGGTTTGGTCACTCCTGGGGGGGCCCTGTGAACTGGTTTGTACAGCGTGACTCGTGTTGGCTCCCTGTTTGGCCACTGCCAGCGGGGACAGGCAAGCTGAGGGGTGTAACCAGTGAGCAGCCACTCACTCAGCCCAGTGCTGAAACACCGGCACTGCTCTGCCTTCAGTGGGAATTCAAATGCCCAGCAATTCCCTCCAGCCAGCTCTATAACCATCCCTTTTATTCCTCCCCTCCTCGCAAAAAACCCTCCATACTTGTATCAGCAAAACCCCTTCCCCTTTTTTGGGTTCTTTTGAGTATGAATTTAAGACATTCTTTTTTTTTTTTTTTTTTTTTTTTTTTTACCCATTGAAAAAAATTGTGACCCTTTTTTTCCACAGGGATAGCTCAAACTCGGCTGAACTTTGACACTTCAATCGTGGCATGTAAATAGTCCTTAATGAGAAGTACGTGCTTTATTAAGTTTGCAAACAGATTTTTTTTTTTTTTTTTTTTTTTTTTTTTGGTTTTAAGAGTTGTGAGTGGTGCTGGAGGGGATCAGGATTGCAGGGAGCTCTGTGTGCCGGGGGGGGGGACCTCCAAGGAGTGTCACTTGCTAATAATGTCTGTCAGAAATAGAGCTGAACAAATGACCCCGAGTGAATAATTCACCTGACAGATGTACCGTCCGCTCTGCTTGTAGAGTGTCTGGAAGCAGGTAACAGTGGTGGTTTCAGTGTTGCTGTGAGGGAGCTGCACTGCCCTGCAGGTGCACAATTCCCAGCACTTAATGCCGTGCTTGGTTTCGTTAGGAGCAGCAAGTCTCTGTCTCCTGACTGGCTGAGTGCACAAGCACTGCTCTGTTACTGATGACATGCACATGTAAACTGTTGTTTCCATTCTCACTTGCCTTAAAATTTCAGTTTTCCATCCCTCCATGCCAATAAAATGCCATCTGCAGAACTTTTTTCACCTCTTCAGTTTCATTTTGAGCACTGGGTGTATCCACAGAATTTTTTTCAGGCATTTATTTCTCTCTGATCAATGGACACCAGCAATAACTGTGCAATGTTGCTCCATTTACTTAGGGAAAACTCACACTGAAGATGAAAATCACCCCTGTGCAGTGGGCTGGCTGAAGGTATGCATCACTTAATCCCCACTCCACCCGGATTCTGAAGGGTTTCGGTGGGATGACTGGTGCTGGTGCTCTGCAGAGGGGTAAATTTCTCCTGGAGTCAGTGATGCCCAGCCAGAGGCTGCAGGGTTTGGCTTGTGGTGCCACTGAGGGTGCAGGCCCTGAGGTTTTCCGTGGTTATCTCACAGTAAGGACTTCCCCCATCCCCATGAGCCACACAGAGGTTTTATGCCAGTCCAGGCCATCAGAAGGATTTGCATCAGTTGTCACTGTAATGATGTGTGTGGTAATTAGGGAGCGCTCATGCTAATTAAACTGGCAGAGGTGCTTATGATACTGCAAGATTTTATATTGCTTATGATCCTGATATCTCAGGGACTGAAATCCAAAAGCCCAGAGCCTCGTGTGACAGTGACACTGATCCAGATGTGCTGGGACAGTCTGTCCCTGCTTCACCCAGCCAGGATTTGGGAGTCTCCCTTTCCTACCTGGCTGTGCCTTGGACTTCAGTTTACTGAGAACTGAAACCTGTGACTGAAAACGTGACTCAGGGAGGTCATGAGGGTGCAGTGAGGTGGCACAGAGGGCACAGGTGACAAGGCTGGGGCTGCCACACCTGGGCCTTGGGAATCACCTCCCTTAAAGGGAAGTGTCCATGCAGAGCTGGGGGTGTTCCCAGTCCTCAGCAGGAAGAGGGAATTTGGTCATTGCCAGCATGGCCTGGAAAAATATTTACTGCCCAGAGAAGCTGTGGCTGCCCCTGGATCCCTGGGAGTGTCCAAGGCCAGGTTGGACAGGGCTTGGAGCAACCTGGGCTGGTGGGAGGTGTCCCTGCCCATGGATCCAAAGTCCCCTGGGATGTAAGCCCAGGTGTGACCACCCCAGGTGTGTCCCACACTGACACCTCGGGAAGGGAACAGCAGGATTGGGATGAACACACAGTGCAGGCAGGGGAGCTGGAAAGTTCTGGAAAGGAGCAGGTTGCAGCCAGAGAGGTAAATTACTACAGGGAAGGTGAGCACAGAGAGTTACAGCTACAATTGATGAAGTGATTATAGATCCAGGTGGCATTTGTGCAGGTCAGATGAATAGAAGGATAATTTATAATGAATCATGGAATTCCAGAACGGTTTGGGTGTGAAGGGACCTCAAAGCCCATCCAGTGCCACCCCCTGCCATGGGCAGGGACACCTTCCACCAACCCAGGTTGCTCCAAGTCCTGTCCAGCCTGGCCTTGGACACTTCCAGGGATCCAGGGGCAGCCACAGCTTCTCTGGGCAACCTGTGCCAGCTGCTCCATCCCTGCCTGTCCAGGCTGTAACCTCACACCCACTGCTCCATCCCTGGATGTCCTGTGAGCCCTGGGGTATAAATTCTGCAGGAAAGCAGTCGCCAGGCAGAGGGTGAGGCAGCAGGAGGAAGGTTTTATAGCCCAGAAAGCAGGGGCTGGAGTTTCAGCACTGAGTTTGTCCTGATTGGTGCTGACACTCCTGAGAGGTTCAGTGTGTGATAACAGCACACAAAATGCTTACTTTAGGCTATTTCTTCGTTGTGCCAATTAACTGGCAAAAAATATGAACTCATTTTGTTCACGTGAAAAACGTAGGGCATTTTTCTATGGGAATGTGAAAATATCGTGGGCTAAAACTTTTTAATTTACCAGTTATCTCAGAAAAGGATTTTCTGCCAATGTATTTAAAATACAGTGTTTCAGCTGAAAGGATTTGTTAACCTCTAATCATTTCAGCCTCCCCTTAGCTGCCCGCTTAGCAGTCCATCACTGGTTTGGTCCTACGAAGGGTTTAAATAGTGCTCAGAGAGGCACCTTTTAAAAAAAACCCCAACAAACACCTTCAGACGTTTTCTAAAACCACATAAATCAACACTCATAGATAGAAGGGTGACTGTTCTGTTCCTGATCAGAGCCAAGTGATAAATGCTGCCACATCAGCTCACTCCCCATGCTCAGTGTGGTATTGAACAGGGCGGACACCGCCAGGCCCCCGCGGTCCTGCTTCCAGCTCCGGCAGCCTCCCCCCGTGCCCTGTAGGAGCCAGGCTTTGTTAGGCAGAGCTCAGCCGAGGCGCACGGCCGGCAGAAGGCCTCGGAGCGCGGTGTGAGAGGCGGTGCAGGGTGAGCCCCGAGCGGTACTAACTTGGCCCGTTTGGCCCCGCAGAGCCAGCGCGGGCGGCACGGCCCCCCGGCCCCGGAGAACTCTCCCGCCGAGCGCCGCGGGCTCGGCCCCCCGGACGAGAACTACCACAGCGACAGGGCTCGCAAGAGCAGGAACCGCTTGTCTTCCAGCTCCCAGCACAGCCGAGACCACTACCCCCTCGTGGAGGAAGAATTCTCTGACTCGTACCAGGACTCCTACAAACCCCACCGGACCCGGGGGTCCCCCGGCGGGTACAGCCACGACTCGCGGCACCGGCTCTGAGCCACGGCCAGGATTCATCCCGTGAGAACCTCCCACATCCCGTAGCTAGGAATGAGAATCGAGTCATCTTCCTTTGGCAGGTGTGACGCCCGACGCTCCGGTTGCACTCTGCTCTCATCCATGTTAATCAGGGGCGACCGAACCCCGCCCGGCCCTTCCGTTTCTGCCCGTCCATAGGGGTTGTTTTGGGGGTTGTTTTTGGTTTTAATACATTTACTGCATTTATAGCCGTATTTTTTTTCTCGTCGTTAGGTATTAGACACGCCCGTTTGTAATTTCGGGTACCTATCGAGGCACTTATAAAATGATTTCCTCTGCTGGAAATTCCAAATGACCAGTTCCAGTTGGAACCAATTTATAAACCAATTCCTGTTGGAATTTGGGTGAATTGACTGGAAAGTCGACGTGAGCATGTTGCAAACAAGTTGGGAAAAAATAAAAACGAACAACAACAAACGTACAAAGAAAAATCTGACAATTAAAAAAATCACTGGAAGCCAGAGAGTCAGCTTCCAGTATTTGTCTGCTGGAATTTCCACTTCCAGTTTAGAATAAAAGGATTTCTATTCTGCTGATTTCTTTCCAGGATGGCTTTTTCACACAAACCAAATGTAAACTTCTCGAGAGTGCCAAATATCACAAATTATTGCAGCAGTGACAAAACACTTTCCAGTTTGACGTTATTTTTAGACCTGGCACGAATGTTGCAGCCAAATTCTTTATTTTAGCCAGTCCTGATGGTTTTGTCGGGACCAGCAGGGAGGAACTGAGACAGGAGAAGGGAAATAGGAACAGGAAAAGGAACAAACTCCATAGTTTGTGTGGTTGGAAGTTGGGAATAGCCTTTTTTCCCTCTCGTTTACCTGAGTACAGCTCCGAGTCCCCAGATGGGACAGGAGTGTAGAGACATCCGATTTTTTTCTCCCATTTTGCTCCTGCCTTTTAAGTGGGAAACAGTCCCCTCCTCTTCCCCAGTGTGTGGAGTACCTCCATTCCAGTACACCCATGTTCCATCTTCCCAAATCCACCTGCGAATGTCTGAAACTCCAGCGTCGCACGAGAACCCTCCGGAAGATCAGGTTCCATTCCCCTCAAGAAATGCAGGGGAAGGGAGAGGGGTTAAACAGTCACCACATACTGGTCAGAACTGCAATAAAAAGGGAATACCAGACGAAAATCTGCTCCCAGGGAGATCCTAGAGCTGATTCAAAGCTTTGGATTCCATGAGAAATCCTTGGAGATATTGCTGCCTTACTTCCTACCGGTCATTTATTCCACCAGTGTTGAGTTCCTTTAAACAGATGAATTTCTGGGATTGGACCTTGTGTCTTACACGAGCAGTGAAGCCTTAGATCCAATGGGATTGAAAACCGACCCCACCTGACCATTTTGTACAACCAGAGCCTCCCGAAATTCCCCACCTCGTGCATTCCCTAAAATTGACACAGTTGTGCTGAACTTGCATTTTTTATGCAGGTTCATGGCAAAACTACTCATTCTTTCAAGAATGAGCATCGTTAACTTTTCTATTTGCTTGTTTTCCTCCCAAAGCCTGCTGAAGTCAGGCTTTGACAGCATGTAGCACTAATGGAATTTCTGGAATATTATGGTTTCTTCTTTCTGGACCAGCTGGCAAAGCCCACTGGTGTTTCCAGCATCCTGGAGTCTCATTATCTTCTTGAGGTTAACGAGAGCAGTCTTTAATCTCCCTTGTGGGACACCCCACACCGACACATCTCCAGCAGCATTGAAAGGTGGCAGATGATGATTAATTATTTTTAATAACTCCACTGTCCAACAGGCAGCTCCAGCCCCGCTGGGTGATCCCAGGGGACCCGTTCCCAGGATAAAAATGGGAATGTCTGCACCCACTGGAGTCACAGAGTTGGGATGGACCTGCCAGCCCTGGTGCTGCCCAGTTTCCTCCACCTGAAGATGCCAAAGGAGCTGAGGAAACACGGCAGGATCCGGCCCGGGAGCAGCAGCTGCAGCTGCCTGCTCCAGCATTCCCTGCTCCAGGAATTGTCCAGCCCTTTTTCCATGTACAGCCCAGCACTTGCATGAGAAAGGAGGCCTTAGGCTGAACATTTCTCTCTCAGCTTTGCCCAGTTCCCTGTTTGTGCATCGGAGTCCTGATGGCAGAGGAACTGTAGAACCCTCCCAGCAGCTGCTTCTCCTCCTCCTGCAGTAGCATTAGGGATCATTAGGGGTCATTAGGGGTCATTAGAGATCAGCTCATTAACTGCTTGCAGATATTTGCATATTTGCAGGTCGCTGCCAAGCACCCACATAGATTTTTCTAGAGCCTTTTGGAGCCTTGTTTTTCAGTCTTCCATGTCAGGCCAGGCAAGGGAAGGATCCACACCTGCACAAACCCACCCCCTGAAGCATCTCAAGTGCCAAAACTGCTCGGTTTGGATAAAAACAAGCTTGTGAGGGAAGTCTTGGATGGTCCTGAGGTCCTTCATTACGTGGGCTTGAGTTGGATTTACTCCTGTGTGTAATGAATTTCTCCCACTGCCCATTCCAAATTAATACAGGGAACCAGTCAGGAGTGATCCAGGTTTCCTTCCTTGCTGGGGATTTTTGTCTTTTGAAAATAGATATATCTGTAAGTACAAATATACCAGCTGTGCTATAGGTTCTGCATTTATTCAAAATAGCCTCTGTTTTAAAAAGGGATTTATTTTTAGGACACACAGTAATGAGTAAAAGCTGTGCTGGGGATCAGTGTTTCTGTCAGAATTCCAGCACTGCTGGATTGGGATTAGTGATTTAGCCAACAAAGGTGAGAACAACAATCTCTACAGACAAAATTCGGTGTGTTCCTATGTTTGGGAATCACTTAACGAAGGATTTTAAAGTTCTTAAACCCACTTTAAAGACAGTTAATTGTTAAATTTCAACTCCAGATCCTTCCTCCTTTGGCAGGTTGTATTTGACACGTTCAGGTTCTTTTACTGGTGCCAAACATTTATCCCATGGGATTTATCCCAGCTGAAGATATTTGTAACTTTGTGTTCAGTTTGATGCCAAATCCTCTGAATTCAGGTTGGTCTCAGCTCCACAGAATTCCCTGAAACATCCCAGGATCTCCTGTCTTTCCTGACTTTACCATTTCAGAATAATTTTGCTAATCCCATTGCTCCATATTCCACTGATTTGGGTAAGTCAGGGCTTCTGATACTCATTTTTTCTTCAATAATGGATTAAATGTGTCCTCTGCTGTATTTTCTTCCCCAAGTTCAGTCCTTCTGAAGCTTGTCCTTGATTCTACATTCCTGATGGGTTTTTAAGGCAAAATAATTAGCCCAGTTTATTTTATATAGGAAAGTAAAGGTGTGTCTTTAAAAATAAAGGGAAACTTTAATAATGTTGTGAAATATATGTAAGGAATTAACTCGGAGAAAGAGCAAAAAATGCTACTGAGGATTGAAATTATAGGATTGAAATTTAAGATTTCTTTCATTACGTGTGGAATCCACTCAAGAATTGGAGTGTTGTCATTAAATCCATACAGAGAATTTGGGGAGAAGGTGGGAATTCTGTAAAATGTTACTGAGTGTGTCATTCCTGTATTCCTTTGGAACTGGGAGTAGCCTTGGCTTGGTGTCAGTGATGGTTCATAGACCTGCCTTTTCCCCCCAAATTCCCACCTGGAGCAGATCCTACTCCTGTCTTCTCCAGGAACAGGGTCTGACCAGAAATGTCACCTCCTGACCATCACCTGCCTTACCAATATTCCCTGAAAACCAGAATGTACTTAAACTTATCCCCCTTATCCCCTCTGGTGTTAATTCCCGGAGAGAGGAAATCTCACGGACAGGACAAAATAATCTGTTTTTCCAACGGTGTAAAACCAGAGCGAGGAAAAAGAAGCACATTTGTAATAGCACAAATTTCCAAGAATCCCACTCCTGCCTTCGGCATCGTGTTTCTTGGGAACCAGGGGGACATTTTTTGACCCAGCAGCAGTGGATTTATGGCATTTTTGTTCCCTTTCCTCGCTGCCTGATCCTTCAGCAGTTGGTTTTGGCATTTTGCACACGGGATTGATTTTTCAATAACTTGTATTCCTTCCACATCAGTGAATTAGTGACAGAAGCTTTCAAAATCCGAAAGCCCAGTGCATCCATTTCTGCTGGAATCACATTAATTCCTTCAGTTTTGGCCAGTGTGTAGATTTTGGGTGTGACTGAGGAATATCCCACGATGCACCAGTGGTCAGGAATGAGAGACTCCCAGTAAATTGTTGGGGCTACAGGGCTTTGAGGTGGGGGAGAGGAGAGTCCCAGCACCCAAAAATTCCACTGATATTCCTGAGAATTTCAAACCTAAAGGGAAGTGAGGGGTGTTGGGCCAAGGGCTGGGACACACCTGAGTCTCTTCTCGTGCAGAGAGGGAGAGTCAGCCAGGCCCTAAATCACACCAAATGCAAATTTTGGGTGAGCAGAGGGGGGGAGAAGGATGGGAACAGTCATTCCAACTGCAAACTCTGCACCTTGGGCTTCTCAGACCCCGGAAAATCTCCGTTTCTCAGCCAAACTGGGTCCCAGTGGGAGCTGGGCAGCGCTGCCTCCAGCCTCACTGGGAGCCAGTCCAGAGTCTGGTGAAGACACTACTGCCTTTACTGGGAAAAGACTTCCCCAAGTTGGTGTTTTCTGCTGGTTTGCCCTTTGTTTCCCCCATAGATCCTGTGTGTGTAGCACCCGACAAGGCATGTGGGTCCAATATACTATGCAATGTGTACAGTGGTGCATGCTCTGCTCTCCCTCTGCTTTTAGTGGCTTTCAAAGAAAAACTCCGGAAAAAAAAAATATTATATAAAAATAAATAAAATAAAACTAAAGTGGTGTTATTTTTGTGACCAGGATCATGCAGACTTGCATGCCCATAGTATCCTCATTTCTATGGATTCGTTTTCTGGAATTTAGATGTACAAAGATGAACTGCATTACAATTAACTTTTCTACAATAAATGAGCCAAAAGTACAAACCGTTGGAAAGTCTCTCCGGTCTCTTTGTGTCCTGCACTGAGGTGGGAAAAATGCTGGGAAGAGCCCCGAGGAGCCTGAAATCCTGTGGTATTTCTGTTGTTTGCCAGTAGCTTTTGGCGGGGTTGCATTTTTAGTGGGATTTCACGACACCCCGAAGAAGGAGCCGCATCTGCTCCGAGAAATAAATGATGTTTATTTTTGTAGCGATCTGCTCTTAAATAGCTGCTGCTCAGGAGCACAGAAATCCAGGTGATTCCTCGCTGCTCCAGCAGGGAGTGGAATCCTTGCAGCCAACCGCTCCGGTGGAGGATCCTTGGGAATGTTCTGGGTTTGGAGCTGGGCCTCAGTGTCATCTCACAGTAGAATCGGTTCCGAGAGAGAAGGAAAAGTGACAGAATGATGGGAGGTGTCAAGGATTGGACCATTAAAAGATAATTGAGTTTATCACAGAATGATTAAGGTTGGAAAAGGCCTCTGAGTCCCCCTGTGCCCGGTGCCCACCTTGTCACCAGCCCAGAGCACTGAGTGCCACGTCAAGGCCTTGATGGTGTCCTGGAAAACTGGAAGCACTGGGAGATGCTGCCTCTTCCCAAAGAGTGACCGGCAGGAACCAGCGACTTCCCAGAGATGTTGTGATGGCCCAGAAACCCACCTTGGAAGGACAGGAGGACACGGACCAGGTAAGCTGCTTTTACATTGGCAGTTTGACACACCTGATGCTTCCAGAATTCTGTTTAATTGGATTTTCTGGTCTGTGTGTGTTCAGAGTCAGATCTCAGCGTACAAGTTTTCATCTGAGCTGTTGATAAAAAGCAGAACATCCTCCAAATAAATATAACTGAGCAAGACATGCCTTTTTTGTGTGTTTTCATGTGGTCCTGGAGGTTAAAATTTCATGAGCCGTTTGTTTTGTCTGTGTTCTGGGGAAGGGGCTGGAGCAGCAGGAGGGGCTGAGGGAGCTGGGGGGGCTCAGCCTGGAGAAAAGGAGGCTCAGGGGGGACCTTCTGGCTCTGCAACCCCCTGACAGGAGGGGGGAGCCGGGGGGGGAAAGTTGGGCTCTGCTCCCAGGGAACAAGGGACAGGAGGAGAGGGAACGGCCTCAGGCTGTGCCAGGGGAGGGTCAGGCTGGACATCAGGAGGAATTTCTCCCTGGAAAGGGTGGTCAGGCCTTGGCAGGGGCTGCCCAGGGCAGGGGTGGAGTCCCCATCCCTGGAGGGATTTCAGAGCCCTGTGGATGTGGCACCTGGGGACAGGGGTCAGTGGTGGCCTGGGCAGCACTGGGGGATGCTTGGACTCGATCTTAGAGGGCTTTTCCAACCCAAAGCATTCCAGGATTCCCTACATGTTTAGGGTTTTTCCCTGTACAGGAGTATTTCCCCTTCCGTGGGCACACGAAGCTCTTCCCCAGCACAGAAAGGCTCCACGACCCACTGCTGGTGTTAGAGCTGCTGGGAACAAAATGTACATGACCTGAAAAAGCCTTCCCAGATTTCCAGGAGGGAATTCTGAGGCTGTCTTGGAGTGCTTTCCTAGAAAGCTTCCAGCAGCACTGGGAAGCCCAACTTACTCCATAAAAAGGCAGCAGTGTGGTCCAGGTTAAACCAGGCTGCCACACAAAAAACCCCAAAAACAACGTGGGGGGAAAATCTCAGTGATTTGCTATTTAAATAATCAGAGTAATTGCTTTAATTGAGTTTTGGTGCCTCTCACACTGCACAGCCCCCCAACCCTGCCACAGGCCCGAGGCTTCCAGGCTCGCTCCGTGTTCCAGGAGAGCTGGGAACGGACAGGAACCTCGAGCATCTGAAATTCCAAGCTGAGGAACGGCAGCAAGGGGGATAATTGTGGCCTAATGAATAATTAAGTCCATTGCAGGCTGGATGCTGAACCTGTGGAACGTGTATCATCACACTGGAGGAGCTGCTCCATTTCCCTGCCGGCCACACACGGTCCCAGCTCTGGGATGGGGATGGATTGGGACAGTTTATTATTTATTTCCTTCAACTGTTAAGGGCCAAAAATTCCCCTCCAGAGCAGCAGGAAATACGAATCCCTGTGGGCACGGACAGAAACTTGATGACTCTGCCCTTGCTGCTCTGGTTACGGGCCAGTATTGCAGCAGGGAAATAACAGCAGGGAGCTGCTGTGGGAATAAAAGCTGCTGGAAGGGAATAGGGAAGAACCTCTGGAATAACAAAAGGAGAGTATTGTGCCCCTGGATCCCTGGAAGTGTCCAAGGCTGGGTTGGATGGGGCTTGGAGCAACCTGGGCTAGTGGAAGGTGTCCCTGCCCATGGAATGGATAAGCTTCAAGGGCCTTTCTCACCCAAACCAGCCTGGGATTCCATATGGGAAGGGGGCAGGCAGCGCATGGAAAGGGGGCAGGCAGCACAGCAGGCAGAAAGGAGGGAAGGTGGAAATGAGAAGTTGTGCCAGGCTGCAAAGGAGTAGGGAAAAACAGAGGCAGCAGTGAGAGCTGGTGTGGCCTGGAAAAGGGACTTCAAGACTTTTAGGACAGGGAGAGTTCATCCAAGAATACATCCCATCCCAGGAGGGGTAGAGCTCAACTCCAAGCTGGCTCTGCTGCTTCTCGGCCAAGCTTTCACCAAAAGGAACTTGATGGGATTCTGTGCTGATAAGCAAAGCTTTTAACCTCTGAACATGATCTTAAACCCCAGCTTTTCCACAGCCCCTCTCTCCTCACAGTGTCTCTCCCACAGCTCCATTTCCTTGTGCAGGGAAGTGCAGGGGTGGGTTTTCCTTCCCAAGCCCTCCCGTGGTGTTGAAATGAAGGGATGTCCAACACTTGTGCAACACACCTGTGTCTCCCTAGAGAAAATGAACTCGGGAGTTACAAATCCCAGTGCTGAGATTCCCACCCACTCCCAGTGTCACGGGAAGGCTAAACAAGATTGACCCATGTAAAATAAAGGATTTGCCCCATTCAGGTGGCACTGGGCACCAGCCACACCAGGAGCTTTGCAGGTAAGGAAAGGGAAACACCACAGTGTTTTTCTGTAAAATAAAGTCATGTTTTGCTCAGGGAAAGGACAAAGGAGGGCAAGGATCCATTGTGTTGTCTCTAGACCACAGAGAGCTCTGCACAACCTATTTACTACTGGGGGTTTTCAAACCCCAAGGATTTCAACTCTGTGGTGGGTTTGGACAAGGAAGTTTATTTTCTAGGGGTTTAAAATCCCTGAGGATTTAAACTCGGTGGTAGGTTTGGACAGCGAAATTTGTCTTGGAGGAGAGAGGGCTCCAGGGGAAACTCGGAGCCCCTTCCAGTGCATAAAGTGCCTTTCTGCAAACTCACTCAGCTACTAGGGAGCAACTTCTCCACATTATCCCTAAATTTTCTGCAGAGCACCGTGTTCCAGTAGGGATTAGATGGCAAAGTGCACATTATTTTCATCATAAACTGGAGCCAGGCTGGGAGAGCTGGGGGGGTTCACCTGGACAAGAGAAGGCTCCAGAGAGACCTGAGAGCCCCTTGCAGGGCCTAAAGGGGCTCCAGGAGAGCTGGAGAGGGACTGGGGACAAGGCCTGGAGGGACAGGACACAGGGAATGGGTTTAAGCTGGCGGGGGGTTGGTTTCGGTGGGATACTGAGGAGAAATCCTTGGCTGCGAGGGCGGCGAGGCCCTGGCACAGGTTGCCCAAGGGAGGCTTGTGAAGGTGCCCGTGGCACGGGGGTGGGGCGGGATGATCTCTACCGTCCCTCGCCACCCAACACTCCACGATACCGAACGCCTGAGGAGCGGGGGGCCCTTCCCCGGCGGCGCCGGGCGGGCCCGAGGCGGTGCCGTGTAATGGCGGCCGCGGTGCCGCCCCCGCGCGTCAGCGCGACGCGCCCGCCCGGCCCGGCCCGGCCGTGAGGGGCCGCGGGAGCCGCCGCCGCCAGCCCGGCCCGCCGCGCACCCGCTGCCGCCGCACTGCCGCTCCCGGAGCACGGCCCGGCCCGCCGCACACCCGCTCCCGCGGCACACCCCGTCCCGGAGCGCCCCCCGTCCCGCGGCACGGCCCGCTCCCGCCCGCAGCCCGGCCCGCCGGCCATGTCCCCGCGGCAGCGGCCCCGGCGCGGCCCCAGCCGGCTGTGGGGGCGCCGCGCCGGGCCCTGAGTGCCCGCGGCCCCCGCGCTGCCGCGGCCGGCGAGGCCGGAGCGCCCCGGCCGACCATGGGGATCCTCTTCACCAGGATATGGAGGCTCTTCAACCACCAGGGTGAGCGCGGGGTGCCGGGGGGTGGCTGAGGGTGTCTGGGGAGACCTCGGAGGAGCCGGACCCGCTCCGAGAATTTGGGGGTTTAACTCTTTTTTTCCCCTGCTCTCAGTCCCCGCAATGCTCATTCCTGACAGCCGCTGCTGCATTATTAATGTGTACCGAAGGAGTACGGCCGGGTTGCGTCGTGGCGAGTAGTTTCGGCTTATAGGCAAGAGCGTGGTTTGAAGTGGTAAACCTCGATATCTGGCTCGTTTATCGAGTAAATGCTATTTATAGCTTTAGTTGTGGCTGCCCCTGGATCTCTGGAAGTGTCCCAGGCCAGGTTGGACGGGGCTTGGAGCAGCCTGGGCTAGTGGAAGGTGTCCCTGCCCAGGGCAGGGGTGGGACGGGATGATCCATAATTTCCCTTCCCGAACCGTCCCGTGAGTCTGTGATTTGTAACACCTGTGTCCTTAGAGTAAGGTGCTCATCAGAGTTGTCACTTTAACTATAAAACACTTCTTTCCGTGTTCATCAGGCCCCTGAAATTCTATTTGGGGGGAGTTTCAGTGCAGGCTCACACCTGCAGGTTCAACGTCCCACTTATGTCCCAGTTAACACTTGGTGCGAGTGCAACAAAATATTTTTGTAGCATCCAGACCTTCTGATCCAGCTGATTCCCAAACGTTTCCTATGCCGGCAGCATCACAAAAGTTCCTAAAAGTTCCGTGGGGTCAGGTAAGCACAGACTTCTACGGTACTGTGCAGTTATGCAAAGTTACTAAAACTGGAGTTTGTATCGGA